GCACCAGGGAAGATGAGGGAAGGCTTCCAGGAGAAGGTGACACCTGAGTTGACCCTTAAAGGAAAACAAGATTCAGGGGAGGAGATTAGGAGGGAGTTCATTTCCAGCCTGGGGAATAGTTTTCAGGAGTGCATGGAGTGGGGTGATGGAGTATGGAGTCTGGTTTTTCACGGGAATAGAAATGAGGTTGGTGGGGCAGCTAGGTGGTGTAGTGGATAGAGCACGGCCCCTGGAGTCAGGAGGACCTGAGTTCAAATTTGGCCTCCGACACATAACACTTACTAGCTGTGTGACTCTGGGCAAGTCACTTAACTCCAATTGCCTCACCAAAGGAAAAAAGAGAAGAAAAAAAAGAAATGAGGTTGGAGAGGTAGGTGGGATCCAGACAATCTAGGGTAATGAGTTTGTATTTTGTCCTATAGGCAACGGAAAACCACAGAGGAGGGGAGTGACTTCAGTTCTGTGTCTTAGGAGGATTAATTTAGCAGCTGTGTGAAGGATGGGTTGGATACAGGAGAGAATGAAGGCAGAAAGAGCAATAGAGTTGTTGCAGTAGTCTGGGCTAGAAGTGATAAGGACTTGATCTGAGGTGTGGTCGCATTTTGAGTGGATAGAAGGGGACAGATTCAAGAGATGTTATGGAGTTAAGATTGACAAAACTCGGCAACTAACTAGATAAATTGAAGTAGGAGTGAAAGAGGGCGAAGCAATGAGTCCAAGGGTATAGAGGAACCTGGGGGACTAGAAGGATGGTGGTACCCTTATTAAAACTAGGGAAGTTTAGAGGAGGGGTAGGCTTAGGGGAAAAGATAATGAATTCCATTTTGGGTATGTTGAGTTTGAGATATCTATGGAACATCCATTTGGAAATGTACAATAATTGATATGGGACTGGAACTCAAGAGAAAATCTGGAGCTGGGTTCAGTTATCTGTGCCTTCAGTTACCGCTTCTCTGTGTCTTCTGACCTCCACAATCACCCTCTCCCTTTCCCCTCTGATTTCCCCTTCAATCACTCTTTCCCTTGCCTTTCTTTTGCCTCTCCCTGTTTCCTCTGATTTCCTCCAGTCCATCCCTTATCTGATTGCCTCGCTTAGACCTGCCTTTAGCACACTGCCTGGCACATAGTAGGCACTTAATAAGTGTTTGTTGAATGAATGAATGAATATTCTCTAATTCTCCACCTCATTCATCTCCTTTCCTTTCATCCCATTTTCACTTCTCCATTCCTATTCTTTTCTCAGTTATCCTCATCTCTCCTCCCTCTGATGCTTCCTTCTTCTCTTCCCCCTCCCCATCTCTCCTATGGGTTCTTCTCTATCTTTTTCATTTTGAATCTTCCTCAGTAATCCCCATCCTTAGCACCCTCTTCAGTCATTCTGCTGCCTGTCTCTTCTTTCTGATCCCCCTCTCAGTCAACTCCCCCGTCACAAGAGGATGAGTGGTAAAAAGCAGGGAGGCAGATCTACTGTAGTACCTCGGAAGGTGAAAAAGCCTACCCCTGGGCCTAAATCAAGAGCACCTGATGGTGAGTTCATGGGCTTTCCCCCAACCCACTCTGGGTCGTACCATCCACAATCCCAGGGCTAATCCTCAAACTCCCCCATTCAATGTGGCTTTTGACCTTCTCCACTACTGAGGGTCTTTATACCACCCCCTCTAAATTCATATCTGACTGACTGGTCCTCAGTCCCCCACAACCCTTTCCTAACCTGTTGGATAACCTTCAGACTTACTATATATACTCCCTTCAACACCTCCTCCAAATCCACCTCAGACCTAATGGGTATCCCTCAGATTCTGCCTTCACTTCTGACCTACTGAGAGACCTTTCAAACCCCACTCCATCCCCAACCATCTTCAGAGATTCCTTCTTAATTCCTGAATTTGGAGTAGAAAAGTGGTCAAAAGAGAAGTCTGTGTTGCCCCTAGAGTTCAGGATAGTGTCATTCTTGTAACCTTGCTGGGAGGGAGGGGGTTGAAGAAGGGAGAAGTGGGGGTTAGATGATGGACTATTGAAAAGATCTTTTTGAGATTTTGGCTTGAATTTGTTGATGAGATCAAATGACATTTGATGTGGGTCTATCCTTGGCTAGATCTGTTGGAGGAGGAAGGTAAGAGCAAAAATGGGGTAGAGATTGAGACCAGAGAAGAGACTTAAGAAGGGGGTGGTATTATATTAAAAAGAGCACTGTACCTGACGTCAGGATTTGGGTTCTAATCATGACTCTAGTATTTATTACCCATATAACTTTGAGGTACATCAATTTCCCTTTCTAAAAAAATGAGTGGGTTGGATCAGATGATCTCTGAGGTTACTTCCAATTTGAAAGCTATGTTCTTATAACTTAGCACAGCCTCATATACAGGGTGTCCCAAAGGTTCAAGCTGCACTCAAGCTTTTGGGATTTCCCAAGTCTTGTCTTCCCTAGCTAACTTCCCAAGTTCACTCAATCAACAAGCACTTCTTAAGAACTTACTATGTGTAGGAACTAGAATAAACTCTGGAGATACAAAAAAAAAAAAAAAAGACACGATCAGTCTCTACCCTCAAAGATATATTCTAAGGGGCAGGGACAATATGTTAAATAATTGGTACACACAGGATACACACAGAGTAGATGGAAGTTTCCTTCAACTATTACTCATGGGATGAATGGTAGGCCTTTCCGCATCCTGGCTGCCTTCCTCCATTCTCCCTCTTGCTTATCAATGCCCTTCCTAAAGTATGGCACCCAAAAATGAACACAATACTCCAAATATTTAACCAGGGCAGAGTAAACAGAGTCTCAGTTTAACCCATCTAACACATTTTAAGTGATTTACTTTGTAAGACACTCATCTTGGCATTGAGGATACAGAGACAAAAATACAATAGCTCCATCCTTAAGACCTTACATTCTGTAGAAGAGATACAACATGGAAAGAAAGATGCTCAGTTCAAGGAAAGTTAAGGAGGGAGAGAAAGCTAGCACCAGGGAAGATGAGGGAAGGCTTCCAGGAGAAGGTGACACCTGAGTTGACCCTTGAAGGAAAATAAGATTCAGAGGAGGAGATTAGGAGGGAGTTAATTTCCAGCCTGGGGAACCCCTTATAGCAGGACAAAGCAGCGTCAGGCTAAATATATTGTCACATCTGGTCCTCAGAATAAGCAATTCCAGTAGCACCCAGAGTGATCCCAGAGAAACCTATAGTGAATCCTGGGAGATCCTAGCTGAGTTCAATGTGCCCCCAGAGACATTTTTCTCATTTCTGAGAGACTCCTGACTGACCCCAGCTTGCCCTTGATGATGCTGGTAAAATTTTAAACTAATCCTGAAAAGTTCATTCCTCTACATCTCCAAATCTTGATTACTCCCATAGAGATGCTTCAATCTTCCCCTTTATCAGCATTTACCAATCCATGTCACTACCGCTAATCCATGTCTAATCTATGCACGCATATATTGGTCTCCTCAGGCTCAGAAATGCACATTGCTCACAATCTTTGACCCTTCTCATTCCATTCCCTCCAATCCTATGTCCCAAGACTCTAGGTCTTGCAGGATTCTCCATGCTGGATCAAAAGACCCAGGAGAACCCACCCCCCAAGGCCTCACACATGACTCCCTGAAATAGCCCCAACTGAGTCTGAGGCTAGGGCCAGCCTCCTTAATGAGAGTAATGAGTACAGCCACAGCATGCTTCCCCGATCCCTAAGCATCCAATAAATGCCAGGGAAGGGGACAAATCAACCAGGAAACCAGCCCTTAAGGGGAGATGGGGGTAGCGCAGAAAAGGATGCTTAGAAACACGAGCTTTCTCTGCTCTCCATCAGTCCTGACTCACCACACTCAGTCTCAGTCTCTCCCATCACACACACAAACATGAACAGGTACGCTGTACCTCAAGTAAACAGATGTTTCCCCATACACCCATGTAGACATAACTATGCCCTCATCCTGGGAACATTCTCCTTATGGGAGCACTGCCCCCAAAACACATACATACACACAGTCCCTAACATAGCATCATCTGAACACATAGGTGCATACATATGCTCTCCACAGGAACAACTTCTCTCCTAATACCTTCCCTCTTCATATTACTTGGCTACCTCAGGCTGACTTGGGACCCTATAGCAGCTCTTCCTTTCTCCCATACTCGGCCTTGTAAACCCAGCTCACAGACTTTTAGTTTCCTGTGGGCCCATTTGGATGTGGCCCTTTCACATTGTCATCTGGCCAGCATCCTCTCACAGAACATTCCCCATCACGTATGCCTACTAAGCCCCCGTGACTTCTTCCCAGAAAAGATTCCATCACTGGTCATGCCGACCCCTGCCCAGAATATAGCCCCTCATACATGCTTATCATCTGTCCAGATTCCAGCCTAGAATACATTTCATTTCATGTGCCATCAAACATCTTCCAAATCTCTGCTTGTAACACACTCCATCATACAGCTGCTAACCCCCTTGCCCAGATCATGATCCATCAGATGTTTGCCAGCTCTCCCCACTCCTGCTTAGAACCTGCTTCATCAATGTCTTTCAGCAGCCCCTTCCCAGAACATGTTCCATCACATATTTGCCAACCCATTGCCCAGAATGTGTTCTATCACATCCCCCAAATTGCTGCCTCCCTAAATATCATAAGATCTATCCCCCAGCTCCTTCTAAGACAGACATATCATCAAATGCCCAATTTACCATTACAACAATCTGTCCTTTATATGGCCTTTTCCAGTCAATTTCCTATATACACAATGGCTATTCCTTCCCAAAGACTCGATGACCAGCCAATCCCCTCCCCAAGAGGCCACAGTTCTCCATGTCTAGTCCCCTCAGGGTCAGTGACCAGCTTGTCCAACGACTGAGATGTCAGCGACCAGTCTCTCTGTGGAGTACTGACTATCAGGGGTCCATCCATCCCTCTAAGAGGCCAGTGACTGATCAATATCTACACCACCTCCAGCGGTGGCCCTTGGCTGTAGGCCCTGGTTCTTCTCTCAGTGACTTACCTGACCATGCACCTGTTCCTCCTGCTCTTCAAAGCCACCCGTCCTGAGCTGCTCCAGCTCCAGGGCTAACTCAATCCCCTCCATCCGGACCCATGCGTGCTCCTCCTGTAACTGCTCAAGCCACTGCTGTTCCTCTTGCCATAGTTGCTCTTCCCGCCAGAGTTGCTCCTCCAGCTGCAGTTGGAGCTGAATCTGCCGCCGGCGGTCCTCCAATAAGAACTGCTCCCTCTCCAGACAGAGCTGGACCTCTTGGAGTCTCAATACTTCCTGTGCCAGGGCTGGGTCAGGGCAGCTGGCCCCATATCCCCCCAGCTCCATGGCTGTGACCAACACCAATTCTGGGCTTGCAGTTGAAGCCTCTGTCACTTCTACTGCCCCTGAGCAATCTGACCTGACCACTGGCCCAGGCTGCCCCATAGCAACTGACCTGCCCATCTCCTCCATCTCCTCCATCACGTGTTTTCCCTGACCCGCCCCATCCTGGGGGCCCCCTGGGGCCAGTGGCCTAGTCTCAACCACAGGGCCTGTCTCACCCCCTCCCTTCCGACCACGGCCCTGTCTCTTAGTTCGGGGTCTACGGGACCGACCGCGCTTCCCAGACATGGTGTCCAGTCTATGCTGTTGCCCCTGAAATGACTATCTGCCCTGCCCTGCTGGTCACAGTCCCCTCTCACTCCCCAACACCCCAGAGGGCCTGGTCATGTCGCCCAAAGTGTTCTCTCTGACCAGCCTCCAGCAGAGATAGTGTTAGGGGGTGGCACAAATTCTCAGAGGTGAGTGCCAGGATAGACCAGCCCTCAGGCTCACCCCACCACCGTGTTCCCGTGCTTGCCTGCCGGTATCCCGTCTGGTCCGTCTGCCTCTCCCCCAAGCACCCTCCCGGTCCTCCAGCCGGCACCTCTAGCCTGAGAGCCTTCCGAGTGTCTCTCTCAGCCCAGGAAGGCGGGGGCTAGGCCAGGCTAGGTTGGAGAGTTTATAGGGACTCCGAGCTGCCGCCTCTCAGCCAGGCCTCAGAGGCTGACTAACAGGCTGACACATGGCAGCAGGGACTTTACGGGCCACAGGCCTGGTTAGCCAAACCAAGGTAGAGCTATACAGAGACAGTGAGAGAGGCAGCTTTCACAGAGGCAGGATCTGACAATGTGTTTACAGCAACTTGTTGGGTCCTGTATCTGGGCTGGGCATACACCCACAGCACTGCCTTATATGGAGTCACTTCAACCCCTTGCTGATGGGACCGGGAAACTCAAACCCCAAACCCTCACTTAGCCTGTGTGCCCTGGACCCTTAAGGGGCAAGGATGCCTCGAACCTTCACCGACCACTTGATTTTGTAGTGACAAACCATTGATCGTAGAACAGTTAGCTGTCTAAATAGTGTAGCTGTTCAAAAAAGAGTGCTTAACTTAGGGCATCTTAATTTTGAAAGGTAGCATGGTGTAAAGGAAAGAACAATGGATTTGGAATCTGAGGACCTGAATTTGAATTCTAACTTTCCCACTGTGTGATGCTGACAAGTCTCACTCCTCTAAATGATTTTGAACATCCCTTTCTGCTCCAAAAATCCTAGGAATTCAGAGGAGTCCAAGACCCCCACTGACAGTAGGAAACCCAGAACCCAAGCCCTCCCTAACTCACTGACTAAGAAGCACTTCAGCCTCCCAGTCTACTGACTGGGCCCTCACTAACCAGGGAAACAAACCCCAAATCCAGCAATTCTGAGGTCTGTGTGGGCATGACCGTGTTTGCTGCTAGGGGAACACTGTGGGAATATGGTACAGAGAGTATAATCTCTATGCTCAGAGCTATTTGAGAAGATTACAGCTGGCACATAGAGTCTTTAAAAGGTTTACAAAGTGTTTTACATACATTATCCCATTTGATCCTCACACTAACAGGTAAAGTAGGAGACCAGGCTTAAAGTTTAACTTGCCCAGGGTTATATCCCTAGAAAACATCAAAGGCTAAATTCAAACCCACGCCTCTTATGACTCCAAGTCCAGAGCTTTTTCTTTTTTGCCATGCTCCCTTGCAAAATGTACAGGAAAAGATTAGTAGCAGGACCAGGTGGCACATGAGCAGTATTAAGTGAGTAGTGGGGCTGCTGGGGATACACCTTGAGCTCTGTGGACTCAAAGGGATGTAGCAAATAGGAAGGGAGGGATCTTTGTGGACTAAGGTAGTCAGTGAGAGTAAGGGAACTGAGGTGTCTGCTGATTACAGAGGGAAGCTTGAGCTCATAGACTACCTATAACGGTTGGTAGGTTTTGGGTCAGTGGAGGGCACTTAGGGGAGCAAACGTTTGGAGGCCCTGAAAGTGCAGGATGTGTCTGAGAGCTGTGAGTGGCCCAGCTGAGGGGAAGCATTATCGTGGCCTTCAAGTATTGGAAGAGCTTCCAGGCAGAAGAGGTTGGCCTGAGAGGGCTGAATGAGGAGCGAAGCATGGATGCTGAAGGGAGGCAGATTCAGGCAAGATGTCAGGCAGAGGCACCTGACAATGAGAGCTGTCCCAAGTGCACCCAGCTGCCGGGGGAGGTCTACAAACAAAATGCTGAATGACTATTTGCTGGGAATATCTCAGAGGGTTGGATTAGATCAGACTTCTGCAGTCCCTTCTTGATCTGAGAATCTGGGAACGGGGAATCATGCAGTATGCAGAGATGGAACAAAAGGAAATAAAACCAGACCGTCCAGATTATAAAGGGCCTCGAATGCCAAATGTATGAGTATGAGCTTTACCTCACAGTCAGGGAACCCAGAGAGAAGGCCCAAAGATGGCCAGAAGTGCTGACTCCTGCACCAGCTTTAGCCCTTCCTCCCTTCTTCCCCCCTTCCCTCACCAACCCATCACTTGCTGTGATATTTCACACAGAGGCAAGGCATTCTTGTTATGTGAGTGTGGAAAGGGGGCTTCTTTAACCAAAATGTAATTGTTAATCAAATTCCTCTTAAGTACATGGGTGTGTAAAGGCCCAGTTGAGATTGGTCCTAAGCAGAGAAAAAAATAGGAGAAGGGATGCAGTTGGGTGGGGCCCAGATGAGACAAACAGTACTAAAGAAGGGGTATGGGTTGGGGTTCCCTAACAGTAATATCTCGATCCCTCCCCTTCCTCACTTCTTCCCACCACCGTCTGCTTTGGGTGAGTCATACCAACGCCCAGAGCTCAATAAACTCCTCAACCTACCGGCCCTTCAGGTTTGGCCTCCCAGACCCCTCCCCCACCTCCCTGATTCCCCACCCTGCCCTCCCTTTCTTTCCTCTCCCCATTGGTCCTGAGAAGTGGCTAGAAGAGGAGCCCTGGGGGGAGGGGTGTGCTGGGCAGGACAAAGCAGTGTGTTGGAGAAAGTCGTTGTGAATGTCGTGTGGAGCCATTGGTGAGTGTGGAAGGAGAGGAGAACCACAGGTGCCACCTCGCCTCCAGCTTTAGTGCCAGTGGGCACTGAAGCTACTTCTATCATGAGTCCCCAAACCCAGCCCCCTTCCCATGACCCTGGTTTACTGGGTGTCCTGGTGAGTCACTGGTCTTTTTTGGTCTTCAATTTCCCCTCATGCTTTATGAGAAGAAGCTGAGGCTACCTTAGACGAAGATGGACTCGCCCTTGGATGTCAAGGGCTGAGTTTGGGTTCTTGGCCAGTAGCCAGACGCGTCCAGATTTCCCCCAGACAGGTGTCCCAATGTGGCTTGGCACTGGAGTGTGGTTGGTGTATGGGGGCTAGTTCGGAATCTGGCTCTAAATACTGGCTCTGTCACTTGTGACCCTGGGCAAATCACTTAACCTCTCTGGGTCTCAGTTTCCTCATCTGTAAAATGAGGGGGTTGGACTAGATAACCTTTCAAGTTTTTCCCAGCTCTAAATCTATGATCCTAAGACCCTTTGCACTTCCTTACCCTACATATGCAATCAGTAGTCAGTTTTTGTTTATTATATGGCTAAAACATCTCTTAAATCTGTCCCCTTTTCCTCTTCAAATTCCTACCTCCCTAGTTCAGGCCCTCATCAACTCTTAATAACAGCAATAATAGTAACTGATACATGTAACCCTCTAAGGTTTTAGCATTAAACAACCCTCTGAGGTAATTGCTACACTTTTCCCCAGTCTCATACAGATGAGTAAACTGAGGCCAGAAAGGCTAATAAGTGAGACAGGTTTGAATCGAGGTTCCCCCAGTCCCTCAGGTTCTCAGTCTAGGAGTCATCTCGGATTCTCCACTATCTATCACCCCCCCCCCCCCCCCCCCCCCCCCTTCCCGGGGCCCCCCGGTTTCCCCCCCTTCCCACCCCCCCCCCCCCCCCATTTCCAAGCTGTTGCCAAGGCCCTTTGATTTCACCTTTACAACATCTCTCGAATACACCTCCTTCTCTCTTCTGACACTGCCCCCAACCCGGTGCAGGCCCTCATCACTTCACACCTTAATTATTGCAATAGCTGCTGGTGGGTCAGCCTGCCACAAATCTCTCCTCCCACTACAATCCATCCTCTCTATTCATACACTAAAGTGGTTCCCTAAAGGGCAGATCCAAACTTGTCAACCCCCCTCCCCAGTTCCTTAAACTCCAGAGGCTTATTCCCTCTAATAACACATAGAAAATCAAAGTCCTTCACAACCCGCCTTACTCCCTGGCATATACTCTTCAATCCGTGTACCTGGCCTCCTGGTTGTTCCACCTCTGAGTTCTAGGCAGGTTTCCTGGCTGTCCCTGGTGCCTGGAACATTCTCCCTCCTCCACTGCCAATTCCTGACTTCCCTGGCTTCTTTAAGTCTCAACCAAAGTTGAGGATGCCTTCCCATATTTCTCTGAATTCCAGCGCCTTCTCTCTTTTTAATTATTCCCTATTTATCCTGAATCTAGCTTGCTTTGTATACATTTGCATTTGCTTGCATGTTGCCCCCCCCATTAGATTCTAAGTTTCTTGAGGGCAGAGACTTGTCTTTTACCTCTTCTTCTATCCTCCATGCTTAGCAGAGTGCCTGGTGCTTAGTATGGGGAGAATAAATGTTGATCAATGGATTCGCTGTGGAAAGCCTTTAAACGAGAGAACAAAATTTATTCAATAACATATACTTCATATAGAAAAAAAAATCTTATTAATATAATATATGAAGCATGTAAGCCAGAATTATCACACTAAGGAAGACCTGAGTTCAAATCTAACCTCAGATACTTATTAGCTGTATGACCCTGGGCATGTCACTTAACCCAGTTTGCCTCAGTTTCCTCATCTATAAAAGGAGCTGAAGAAGGAAATGGCAAACCACTCTAATTTCCTTGCCAAGAAAACCCCAAATAGGGTCAGACACAACTGAAATGACTAAACAACAACAAAATTTCCCTTTTTACCTGGACAATCATACCAGTCTCCTGAACCATCTCTGCACTTCCAATTTCTTCCCTTTTAGCCTATGCTTCGTATTACTACCCTGGTAATATATCTAGTGCATCGGATTGACCATGACACTTTTACCCAAAAACCTTCAAGGGCTCCCCCATTAACTAGAAAATACAGACGCCTCAGTCTGATGTTGAAGCCTCCCCCTAATCTCTTCAAATGACTTTTCCTGGCCCATCTCACTCTAGTAGCCTTCACACAGCTGATGCTGTGGCCAAGATGGACTACAAGCTATTCCTCACCCTCCTGCTAACCCACCCCACCCCCCTCTCCGAGAGGTCCCAAACAAACTCCAGCTGTGTCTCCTTCTACTAAAATCCTTTTCCCTTAGGTCCAGCTTTCTTCCCCCCTCCCCAAACTGACAGTGAGCTCTCTTGTCACAAGTTTCATGGCACTTTTTCTGGATCTCTTCTTTGCCCCTAGTCATACTCTAATCTTATGTCATACTTAGCTATGTCCATGTGCCCTTGTATTAGAGAGTAAGCTCCCTGAAGGCAGTGACTTTGTGCTTTTTCATCTTTATATCTCTAACTCCCAGAACAGTGTTCCTGTTACCTACTGTTACACATAGTAGGTGCTTAATAAACATTTGTTTAGTGGAATTGTTGGATCCTTCTCTGATGAGGGATCCCCATAATGGAGGAGTGTTGTGACGTTTGCTAATTAACGATGTTGTGTGTGGGTTTTTGCTGCTAATAATGGTGCATGTGGAGTTGATTTGTTAACGCTGTTGAGTGCTGGGGGAACTCATTAAAGGCAGACGCTGGGAACCTTTTAGGAGCCCCATAAACATGACTGTGACTCCTGGGGTGGGGCACTGGGGGCCATACTTCCCATTCCTCTTACTAACTACTGTCTTCCTCAAATTAGTGAAGTCAGCCAGTGGTGTGAAAACTCCTGAGAATACCAAACAACCTTTACCTTCTGTTCCAGACAAACCCACTCAACCCAAAGGTAAGAACAGGTACAGAGTTATCACAAATGTGCCACATCACCCTGAAGGCTGCTGGAGTGCTAGTCTGAGTGCTTACCCTTAGAGTGAGGGATCTCCAAGTGCAGGGCTATGTCTGTCTCCTCACTGGGCAGGGGAGCTCAGTCTAGGTGAGGTAAATGGGAATTAAGTAAAGGCAGACTCAAGAGAAAAAGTGTGGGGGTGCTTTGGGTCTGAAACTCAGTCTTCTGTTTATGTATACACCTAGTTAGATATATGTACATCAATGTCTATGTCTGTGTGTGTTTGTGTGTGTGTGTGTGTGTGTGTGTGTGTCTGTGTGTGTCTGTGTCTGTGCCTTTATGTGTAGACTCCCTCTTCTGGTTGGAGAGAGAAATGACTACTCAGCTCTGGGCTCCTGGGATCCATACCACATATTGCCAAGTTTTCCCTGACTGCCTTACAGCCCCCTTTTATGCTTTACCCTCTACTCAGAGGCAGCTGGTAGTACAGTAAATATAGCACTAGACCTGGAGTTCAGAAGACCAGAGTTCAAATCCAGCCTCGGGCACGTACTAGCTATGTGAGCCCAGGCAAGTCATTTAATCTCTGTTTGCCTTTGTTTTTATAGAAATCCCTGTAAAATGGGGATAATGATAGCACCTACCTTTCAGGGTTGTTATGAGGCTCAAATGAGATAAATTTGTAAAAAAACAAAACAGAAAAAAGACACTTAGCACAGTGCCTGGCACACAGTAGGCACTATATAAGTTATTTTCCTCTTACACCCTACCCTGGGCATTGACATCTCCCATTACTTCTTCCTTCTCCATTTCTCTATATCCTGAGGTCTTTTTCTCACTGAAACTCAGGCGTCATGCTCTTCATATTCTATAACAAGAGGGAAAGGATTTGTGCTTTTGTAGGGTTGAACCTGAACACTGGAGTAGCACAAAATCTTCCATATTTCAAGGAATAATGTTAGCAATAGAAGGGAATGAAGAGATTAAATAGTCGTAAATTTTAAAATAGAAAAATGAGACCCAGAGTATCTCCTAGAGTTACCTAGGCCTTAGCCTGGCCCATCACTGTTCCTGCTAGGCCAGCCTTGCCCTTAACAAGAGAATGTCTTATGCCCCAGAATTCTTCCCTTTCCCTTCTTTCCCTGCCTCCTCCCACCCCCTCAAGATAAAACTGATTTGGAATTTGCTCACCTAGATCAAGCTTATTGGCCTGTTCTTCTAATTCCAGGCTCAATCTCAGCTAATCAGGAGGCCTCTTGATGACGTGGAAGGCTTTGGTGCTTCATCAGTAGGACTATAAAATCACTTGGCTACCTCCCATCTAATGAGAGGGAGAAATGTACTATCACATAATTTTTCCCCATTACCTCAAAAATCAGAATAATTAAGTAACACACCTAGGTTTACACCCCCCTCCCCCAAGGGTAACTTTGTACGTTCACAAAAGAAGAACCCCTTTCACAGCCTAGCTACTGCAGGCCTCTATGAGATAGAATCACTTCATCTTCCTAGCTCACATCTGTCTTAATCACCATGTGGCTGTCAAGGATGCCTAGTTGCCATATTCCTCACCTAGTACCTTTATAAGAATATTTACCATGTGTTGTAGACTGAGCCTGTCTCAGGCTGATCCATGCTTCAGTTTTGGAATTGGAATAACATGAGACATTTGTAGACCATCTAATAATTAATAAAAGAAAGTTTATCTAGCTTAGCTAAAGCAGGGAAAGGATCTCAAGCAAGGATACAGCATCAATTCATTTGGTTGTACCTTCCTTGCCTCTGTGTTGGCCTCAATGGTTTAAAGCCAAAGGGAGGAAATCCTTACTCCTTGCGTGATGGCCACCAGGAAGCTATATCAATGACTCAAAACTTATTCCCTTTGGCCAATTAAGCCTCAATGACATTTTCAAATACTTTAAATGAAAAACTAGCCTACTCATTTTAGTTCTCATTATTTCATGTTTTTCTAAAATGAAATAGTGAGTGAAATGAGCCAAATCAAGAGAACATCGTATACCTTAACGGCAATATTGTTTGAAAAACAACTGCAAATGACTAAGTTATTTTGGGTATTACAAATACTCAAATCAACTACAAAGGACCTATGAAGGAAGATGCTATCTACCTCCAGAGAAAGAACTGATAAACAGAAGTATGGTTTTACACACACACACACACACACATATGTATGTACACATATCTATGTCAAATGGTAGCCTTTTCTGGTATGAGATGGGGAGGGAGGAAGAAAAAAAATAAAAAGTTCACAGAAGAAAACAAAAGAAAATTCAGAAGGAAGCACAGAATAGCAAGGTAGTTTTACAAACTATGTGTAGTATTTATTACTTTTTTTTTAACTAAGTAATATGAAATGGAGATCCGTGGTTTTATATTGAATCCTTTTTTTGTGTTGTGCTGTGTACATGGAAATGCTTTTTTTGTCTTTTAATGCAGAATAAAAAAAATTTTTAAAAAGAAAGAAAAACTAGCCTAGCCTGCAAAGGGTAGGACTTTAGGATATTACTCCTGCCATAGTAGAGGAAATAAAACTATGGTCACTCAGTAAAGCGTGCTGACCATAGGGTCCCCTGAGACTCTATCCTGGGCCCTCTTCTCTTTTCCTTCTATACTATTTCACCTGATGACTTTATGGTTACAACTATCACCTCTATGCAGAGGACTCTCAGATCTTCTTCTCCAGCTCTAACCTCTCTCTTATGCTCCAGTTTCACATCTCCAACTGTCTATTAGACATCTTTAACTTGCTGTCCCATAGACATCTTAAACTCAACATGTCCAAAACTGAACTCATTAGCATTCCCCCTAAACCTTCACTTCTTCTTAATTTCTCATTACTTTTGAGGATACCACCAACCTCCCAGTTTCCCAGGCTCAAAGCTGAAATATCATTTTCAATTCCTTATTCTCTTACCACCCCCACCCTCACCCGTTTCCAGTCAGTTGTCAAGTTCTGTCTTTCTACCTTCCTAATTTCTCTTCTATATGTCCCATTCTCTCCTCTGACACACTGCCACCACCCTGATATAGGCCCTCATATTATTGTTGTTCATCTTTCATTCTTGAAGAGGACCAATGACATCACATGTGTGTGTGATGTCTTGACTTGCCCATGAATTGGATTTGAGTGAGGCAGAGCTTTGCAAAGTCATCAGTCTCACTCTCTCCTCCAGAGTCATCAAAGTCTAGTGACAAGACAAAGGTCGACACAACTGGTGATGGCCCAGGATGCAGTGGGTGACCTTGGCTCTTTACAGTAAGGTCTTTCCCAGGTCTCATTTTGTCTGAGTAGGCCTTCATAACTTCATGACTGCCTCAAGTCTTTCTTCACTCCAATGCATAATAATAACTAACATCTATATGGTGCTTACCATATGCCAGGCACTGTGCTGAGTGCTGTACATCTCGTTTGACCCTCACAACAACCCTGGGAGGAAGGTGCTATTATTACCCCATTTTACAGATGAGGAAATGGAAGCAAACAGATTAAGTTACTTGCCAAGGATCACATAGCTAGTGTCTGTGGTCAAATTTGAACTCATGTCTTCCTAGCTCCAGTAATACAATATATCCTCCACTCAGCTATCAAATTTCCTAAAGTACAAATCTGACCATATCACCTCCCTATTCAGTAAACTCTTGTGGCTCCTTATTACTTCCAAGATCAAATATAAAACCTTCTATGTTTGGTTTTTAAAGCCCTTTGTAACCCTTCTTACCTTTCCAATCTTCTACACCTTATTCCCCTCCACTTACTCTGCAATCTAGTTGCACTGGCCTAATTGTTGTTCCTTGCATATGGCAGCCTGTCTCCTGACTCCAACCATTTTCACTGGCTGTTCAAGCCTTTCTTAGACCTCCTTAATCTTAATGAGATAATATTTGTAAAGCATTTAGCACAGTGCCTAGCACATAGTAGGTGCTTAATAAATACCAGTTGACCAATTGACTAATCATACCCCTTATATAAGATGTACAGTGAAGCTGGCTTATTAACACTGAGCCATCCAGTAGGAAGGTGTGAGAAATAGCAATGGGCAGGAGATGGTATTATTCAGGAAGAAAGGAAGGAAGGAAGGAAGGAAGCACTTAGGTCCTTGCTATGGGCTAGGCACTTCGTTAAGCAAATATGAACAATTTTTAAAAAGACACTTCCTGCCCTAGAGGAGCTTACATTCTTTTCAGGGTAGATAACACACAAAAGGAAGTTGAAAAGTAAGGGGAGGGGATTGGGGGGAAGGAAAGTGCCCATTAAGGACATGGTTTTGAAGTTCAGAACTCCAGGAACAGGGCTGGGAGGAGAGCAAAGGCTGACAGGCTGGCTTGGGCCCTTCCAAAAAATGGAGGCCCCAGAAAGAGCTCACCAATGGGAGAAAGAGAAAGGCAGCCTTTCTGAAAGAAGAAAGGAAACAAGCATTTATTAAGTACCTACTGTGTGCCAGTAACTATACAAAGCACTGTACAAATGTTAATCTATTTGATACTCACACCAACCCTGGGAGGTAGGTACTATTATTTTCCCCGCTTTACAGTTGAGGAAACTAAGGCAGACAGGGATGAAGTGACTTGAGCAAGGTCACACAACTAGTAAGTGTCTGAGGAGGGATTTGAACTCAGGTCTTCCTGACTCCAGGCCTGCTTCTTTTTCCCCTGCACCACCTAGCTGGAAAGGATATTTCAAAGTGAGCAGACAATAGGAATGGTAGGCTGTTCCAAATCAAGGTGGCCTCAGGCACTGAGGAAGTTTCAGGTTGAGTCAGCATGGCTAAGTAGAAGCTGCATGATTTTGAAATCCAGAAAGCCAGGAACAGGACAGGGAGGAGAGTGGAAGTACAAAGAATAAAGCAATACTGACTCACCAGAAGGTTACATTCTAATGACATAAATAACTTTCTACAGGATAAACATAAAATGAATAAATTACATCTGTACATGTATACAGTATAAATATAAGGTGAATAAATACAACTCTATGCAAAACAGTCAAATACAAGGTAGTTTGGGAGGAAGGGCACAGGCAGTTGGGATCAGCAAAGGCTTCATGCAGAAGATGGTGCCCAAACTGAATCTTAAAGGAATGCGTGTCAGGCATGGAAGGTGGTCAGCGCCAAGGCCTGGAAATAGGAGATGGAATGTGTATGAGGAGGGCCAAGTGTCCAGTGTGGTTGGAAAAGATAGGCCCAGGGCCGAGTCATTTCAGACTTTAAAAGAAGCAATAGGAAGCTGCTGGAGTTGATTAAGTAGAGGAGTCATGTGGTCACACCTGTGCTTGAAGAAAAGTACTAGTACAAAAATATGTACAAGAGACTGGAGGCAGGCAGACTAGTTGGGAAGCTTTTGTAATAATCTGGGCAAGAGGTGATCAGGTTCTGAACTCAGGTGTGTGAGTAGAGAGAAAGGGTTGAATATGAGAGATGCTTTGAATGTAGAAATGGCAAGCTCGGGCAACTGATTAGGTCTGCAGAATGAAGGAAAGTGAAGAATCTAGGATAATGCCGAGGTTATAAAATTAGGTGACCAGAAAGATGGTAGTGCCTTCAATGAAAATAGGGAAGTTTGAAAGAGGAGAGTGTTAAAGAGAAAAGTTAATGAAGTTCAGTTTTAGACATGGTGAGTTTGGGATGACTTTGGGAGATCTAGTTTTGAAATGCCCTGAAGCTCAGGGGAGAGACTTGTGATGGGAAGGGGGTGGGGAGAGAGAGAAAAAAAAAGAAGAAAGAGAGAGTATACACATCTTCAATGTGCATGTATAAAATATGTGTATACACACATCCTCATCTTCAGTTCTCATTTCTCTGTCATCTCCATGGCAGAGCTTTCCAAGGAAGAACGAGCAGCAATCACCATTCAGTGTGCCTACAGGAAGCACCTAGCGCGGAAGGAACGAAGCCGTCGAATAAAAGAGAAGGAAGAATACACAGCCTTGATGGACCAGCTACAAAAGGAAGTAGGACTCCACGTGTTGGGGGGGGGGGTTAGGTAGGGTGATACTGGGTGAATGGTCCACAGTGACCTTTGTCTCAAGGGGAGAGTGATGCGTGACCAGGAGTCAGCAACTTGCACTCTGTGTCTGCCACAACTCTCCTGAAGTTTACTTTTGGGGGCTGGTATCACCCAGCGGTGAGAGGAAACCACACTTTGGCTCTCAGGCCTTCCTAGCTATGGTGAAGCGTGAGCAGGAAGAGGCTCGAAGGGAGCGTGAGAAGGAGGAAGAGCAACGGCGAAGGCGTCTGGAGGAGCAGAAGCGTAGGAAGCGGATGTTGGAAGCAGCATTTGAGGGAGATGTGGAGGAAATGAAGGCTGTGCTGAAGGAGGTCAGCATGGGGCATTCCAAGCATGAGTGAGGGGTCTCACCTACAGGTCAATTCAAGGTCAGCAAGAGGTCAGCCAAGGTTAATCGTTGGGTCATCCAGGTGTAATAATAGTGACCAAATAGTCAACAAGGAGCCATTGAGGATTCATCAAGGACCAGAAAAAAAGTTAGAGCCAGCAATAAAGTAAGGTCCAGGGACTGGCAGCAGGGTCTTGTCAGGAACATGTTGAAACCTATTTCCCATATTCCTGTCCAGCTTATTCCGAGGGAAACCTCAGATTCCAAAGCAGAGCTCAGAGAGGATATGACTCTATTTGTGTCTCCCCCATTCCATGAAGTTCAGAAGTCTTCCCAAAGCTGCCTAAGGGTGGCCTCCTATCCTCAGAACACAATGTCCCAGCTTCCATATACTCTCATGGTACCCAATGTTCCACTATAAGAACAGGCAGAAGACAAGAGTACACTTACTGCCGGGACAGATAGAGGACAGACGTCAGAGCTGAAACACTAAGAGAGATAGGATTGTCTCTGCTTTTGTCCCCTGCTTCCTCCTGTACGAGTTCTCCCCTAGACCTGACCCCTGTATGTATCATCCACACTTCTCTCTGTCCTTGTCCCTTCACACATACCCAGCGTATATCCCTGTCTGTGCACGGCACCCATTGTAACGCCATTATCCATTAATCCCAAGGCATGTCACTGAGGAATATGTCCTTCCGTCACCCCACTTGTGTATCTCCAGGCTGTGTCACATGAGCACTTTTTCCCATGTGGCCCCTGGACATGTTTTCTCCTGTCACTCCCTTTGTGTCAGTTGACATGTTGTGGGTCTTTGTGGAGGTAGGGGACGTGCTGAGCCAGGAGGGCGTGGGCCACGATGACCCGGGGAAAGCAGTGAGGCTGAAGAGCCGCTTAGCCATGGTGGAATGCACTGATGCAAATGGGAACACGCCGCTGTCAGAGGCTTCAGGAGGAGGTCATCCTGCTGCCATCAAGTTCCTCATAGAGAATGGTGCCCACCCCAACTGCAAGGTATGGAAAGAAAAGAGGGCCTTAGAGGAAGAGAGGGGAGTAAATGCAAGGGAGATTTGGGCCCTAGCTTAGGGAGTTCTGGGGATGAGACAATAGGGTGGGGTGGTGAGTAATGGTGTGGTAGTCCTGGACCAAGGAGTCCTGGCAAAGAAGGGAGCGAGTGAGGAGACAGGGTAGCTCTAACTCAGGAAGGCCTAGGCCCTTTGGCTTAGGGAGTCCTGGGAGGTAGGGAAAAGAGAGGCTGAAGAATTATGGCTTAGAGAGTGTTGGATGACAGGGAAGAGGGAAGCAGCTGAGGGGGCCATGCTCAGGGAGTCTCTTCCCTCCCAGGGAGCCTTTAGTCGGACCCCTCTGTATAGAGCTGCCTTTGGTGGACACCTGGCTGCAGTGGAGATGCTTTTGCAGCATGGATCAGATCCACGGATCTATGCAGATGATGGAAATACTCCAGAGCAGGTGTGGCCATGAATAACCCCTTTGCTCCCCTTCTCCCCTACCATGATGCCTGCCCTCCCTATGAAAACATAGACTAGATTCTCCATACCCTCTTCCTCTTAGGAAGGGTCCTGACCTTGTACATGGTTGATATGAAGACTGAGCAGCTCAGCCTCCAGACTGGATAAAGGGTCAGGGCCCTGGGTCACTGTGCAAACAAGTGCTGCACAGTTCAACCGTGAGTGTAGGCTCCCCTTCTAGACCCTTGGGCTCAGGGCTTCTTTCTTAGCCCAGACTGAGACTTCTTCTCCTGGAGAAGACCCTGTCCTCATTTTAATTCCTCTAATACCAGCCTCAGCCTCCTGCTTCACCTAGCCCTGGTTCTAGTGCCTCTTAGCTTTTCTTTTCTTTAAAAAAAATTTTTTTAATTAAATTTTTTTTTCATTCAGTGAAAGTCTGCCTTCTCTTCCTCCCACCTCCTCTCCTATAAATTCCAGTCTCCCACTAAGGGAGAAAAAAATATCCCAAATCCTTATTTTAGAAACAAGTATAGATAGTCAAGGAAGGAAGAAAATAAGCATCTATTAAGTACTTGCTATGTGCCAGGCACTGTGCTAAGTGCTGAAGATACAAATGGGGAAGGGAATAGGCATTTATTAACTACTATGTGCCAGATACTGTACTAAGCACTGTATAAATATTATCATATTTAATCCTTATAACAACCCTAGGAGGTAAATGTAATATCCCATTTTATAGATGAGGAAACTGAAGCAGACAGGTTAAGTGATTTGTCCAGGGTTATACAGCTAATAAGTGTCTGAGGCTGGATTTGAACTCAAGTCTTCCTGAGTTTGTGCTCAGCACTCTATCTACTATGCTACCTAGTTGCCAAATACAAGAGGGGGAGAAAGAAAAAAAAAAGACATTCGCTTACCTCAAGGAGTTGACATCCTAATAGCAAACAGAACAGACTCCTACGTTGACCATTTGGCACCCCCACCCCTACCTCAAATCTCTCTCAGTCTGCACTCTAAGCCTTTCATTCCCCCTTTTATCTAGAAGTAAGTAGCTTGTTTCATCATGAGTCCTCCAGAATTTTGATTGGTCATCGTGTTAATCAAAGTTCCTAAATACAAACCTCAGGGGCTTTTGTGGCCAGCCAACCCCTTTCCAGCTATTGTTACACAAATATTTGAAATGCTTGCATGTGGAAGAGAGATTAGACTTGTTCTATTTTGCCTCAAAATGTAGAAACAGGAGCAATGAGTGAAAGTAGCGAAGAGACAAATTTAAGCTTGACATTGAGAAAAACTCCCTAACAATTAGAGCTTCTCTATCTGTAGCCAGAATGGGTTGCCTCATAAGGTGATGGGTTTCTACTCATTGGAGTTCATCAGGAAGAGGTTGAATGAGAACTTGTCAGCAGTATTGTAGTCCAGGATTCTTTAAAGTTTGCACTCAATGGCCACTGAGATCCACTCCAATTCTTAAATTCCATGATTCTTTGTTACGAAGTGGGATTCTTCTGAGATTGGGAGGATTGAGAAATGATAGAATTGTAAATGTCACCTATGGCCCAGTTCTCCCAGGGACTCTGGCTTCATACAAAGGAGGTTCAATGACCTCAAATGGTTAGCTTCACTCTTTGACTTCTTATACTCCTACTCCAGAATAAAACTTTAAGAAAGTCTCTAGAACAAAACTCCAATATGCTCTCCCCAAATGCAGAATAACAGGTTGCCAATTCCTGCACAGGCACTAAATGTGTAAATATAGGCATAGGGTATGGTGTATGGAACAACCTCTATTCTACTCACCAGTGGAAATACATAAAATGCAAAGGATATACAAGAATCCATGAAGAAATATAGAAACATGAAAGACTCAAATAGCTCATTAGCCTGATTAGAAACACTAGCCCCTCCCACTACCAGAAAAAAAAGCCCCTTATAGGCACTGCTAAATAAATATTCCCCTTTCACCTCAGACATACTGAGTGACTCATTCGAACATCATAGATGGTTGGCAGGGTCCAGGTGTCCCCTTCCATGTCCTGGTTTTGGTCTTCAATCTGCAGGGTGATCTTACTAGAAGCACTCTTCTTCCTCTGATAAATGCTCTGTTAAGGAAATCTCCCTCTGGGTGGACAGGTCCTGGCTCAAATCCACGAGCTCAAACTGAAGATTACTCATGAGGTAACCCTCAAGACTGGAAATGTCCATTCTCAGGGTCACTAGTCTTTAAACTGTGTTCAGAAAAAGAAACAATAGTAGAAGGCATCCAGAAATTGGAGGTCCAGGAATGCCCATCTCAGGCTCACCTGGGCAAGCCTGGTCTGGTTACCATGTGCTTCTCCTACAAGTCATCCATTTCTGCTACTTCGAGGGGTGAAGGTTCCCTCTATTCTTCCTTGTTGCACTCTGGTCTACAAATCCAAGGAAGAAAGAGCACACAAAAAGGAAAATGGGTAAAAGGGGTGAGCTATTTCACAGCTTGCTTTTGTAGACCATAGAACAGGCACAGCTATTTTGACCAGAGTCTGCTTCTCCTGATTCTCAGTAACCAGTCATCTTTTAGCCATCCCCAGTCATTGGGGACCAATCAGAGGAATTCTTTGTCATCTCAGCCAGGGATTATAGTACTGGTCTACCTTCATGAGTCATGCCCCATCCAAGAAAAGTCCACATTCTGCAATCTCATCAAGCAAATTGAGGGACTCATCAGATTAATCAGGGCATCTCCTAAAAAGTATTAATAAAATATCCTTTTCAGAAAAAAAAGGGGGGGGGCAGCTAGGAGGTGCAGTAGATAGAGCACTGGCCCTGGAGTCAGGAGAACCTGAGTTCAAATCCAGTCTCAGACACATAACACTCACTAGCTGTGTGATTCTGGGCAAGTCACTTAACCCCAATTGCCTCACAAAAAAAAAAAAAAAAAAAAAGGAAAATAGGCTTGAATAAGGTGGGACCTGGAAGCAGGGACATCAATTAGGATCATAAAAGCTTACAGAATTGAACTGAAGTTATTGTAATTATTCAGACAAGATGCAATGTGAGATGCCAAAGTATTTCATGAAATGGTGTTTCTTATTGCTTTGGACCTATGATAAAACCAATTCCATCAATTCCTTTATTTGCTTCTCCAAGGAGAACCTGTACCTGTAAGTTCAATTTCACTACAATTTCCTCATATCTTGTGGGTTTGTTTATATTGAGAATTTCAATACTGATGTAATTCCATTCATTCTGTAATATGGCTCACTGGTCATTGGATAAGAATCTCACATTTAGAATACCATCAGGAAATTTAACACGTGTTAATCTAAAAACTGGGAGAACATTGGTGCTGAAAAGAAGAATTTTTGTTTCAAGGAATAATTTGTGATCGTTGGAAGCATTGTGCAAATATAGGCCAGTCCAGTCTTCTTTGTTGTTGTCCAGTCACTTCCAATTCTTCATGACCCCATTTGGGGTTTTCTTGGCAATTTCCTTGACATTTCCTTCTCCGGCTCTTTTTAGAGATGAAGAAATTGAGGCAAATAAGTTTAAGTGATTTGTCCTT